TCGGGCCGCGCTGTGCACGGCCCGAGCACCGCTCCGCGGTGCTTTCATCGCTGGTTAGTAGATATAACATTTTTTGAAACACCCTGTACTTTGATTTTTAAACACCCTGTATATAAAAGTATGAGAATGTTTTTCAAAAAAAAAAAAGTAGGCCCCGCTGGAGAAAAGAATAAGAAAAGTTTCTTCAAAACTTCCAAAAATGCATCTGGTTAGTAAATATAAAAATTTTTTATCCAAAGACTACGTAAGTAAGACGGAAACGGTAAAAAAATAAATAAAGACATCTGCTTGATAAATATACAAATTTTCATTAAAAGATTGTAGTAAATAAAGACAAAGCTAAAAGTGAAAAGAAACAAAACTGCCCTTAATTCTATAGAACATCTAGTATATGGATTTTTAAAAAAGCGAATTTTCTTCAAAAGATTTAGAGAAAAAATTAAAAAATGAATAAGGAAAAACCTAGTTCACCTGTGTAAGTTTTACGAAACACCCTGTACATAAATTGCAAGAAACATCTGGTTAGTCGGGCATAAGGTTTTTCATAAAAATATTGCAGACTTCAGTACAAAATATAGAAAAGGAAAAAACATTAAGGAAAGTTTCGTTCTATTCATAATTTTAATCTGCATCAGTATTGTGGAATATTCAGTATAAAAATTTAAAAAGACAACTGGTTAATAAGTATACAATTTTTCATTAAAAGACTAGTAAATAACGAAGTTAAAAGTGAAAAGGAAAAAAATGCCGTTTCAGATGTGGATCAATTTTGTAGAACACCCAGTACGTATATGGATTTTCTAAAAAGTGGCTGGTCAGTAAATATACAACTTTTCTTCAAAAGATTTCATGAAAAAATTAACAAAATGAATCGGAAAAAATCTGGTCCACCTGTGTCAGTTTTATGAAACATCCTATACAGAAATTGCAAAAAACATTTGGTTAATAAGACACCGTGTGTAGAAATATCTATTTGAAAATTTAAGTAGGTAGTGAAATGAGAAAAAAATCCTAGTCCGCCTGTGTCAATTTTATGAAACACTTAGTATATAAATTTGCAAAATGCCTCTGAGTTCTACAATATAAGATTTTTCATAAAAATAATGCTACAATAAATTTCTGAAATATACAGAAGCCTCTAGACCGATAATTTTAACTTGGGTCAATTATGTAGATCATGCAGTACATGGATTTTCAAAAAACCCTTTGGTTAGTAACTATACAACTTCTCATGAAAAGATTTCAAAAAAAATTAGGAAAAGTGAAAAGGTAAGTAAAATAAAAGTTCACCAGTTTCATTTTTATGAAACATTCGGTACATACATTTGCAAAAAGCATATGATTACTACTATATAAGATTTTTCATAAAAATATTGCAATCAAGAAAGTGAAATAATATATAGGAGCCTCTGGACCGTTCGAGTTTCAATGCAATTTTTTAGACACCCTGTATATAAAAAAACCTATTTGAAATTGTATATTTTTTTGGTTATAGAAAGGTTTAAAACGACGAGTCCATATGTAAAATTAAATTACGGCAGTAAGTTAAAAAAAAATCTTGGGGTAACCTCATCTGAAATTGAACCGCCGACCTTAGGAATATTTTTACCACTGTGCTATCGTTGCTTCATCTACAATCCGTCTGTACTAATATTTTAATTGTCATTCACAGCTGAAGTAATCAACAATTTTTGTAATGTTAAATTTGCATTTTTCTAACACAAAGTCTTGCAAAGGATCCACAATGAGATAAAACAGATAAATAACGACATTCCATGACTTGGAAAAGTAGTTTAACCCCAATTTATTTCTATAATTCGCAACTTTTGATGTTTGGAGTAAGTAATACTAATACAATATAGTAACTAACGAAGCAAATGTACCAATACAAAGGTTCAAGGGTTTAGGTACTACGGATTGGTTTAAAATTATGCAGTTTTAGAGGGTAAGTACTTACGTTAATTCGGGGGACAGGTATCCTAATCGTAGGCATGTCAAGCGGCATAGCTATGAAAATGTAAATAACAACCTAACCTAATAATAAGAAATACCTGTATATATCGTGGCATAGCAATGTATTAAGGTTAAAAAAAGGCTTAGTAAGGTAAAATAACGATTCGCCACGACCCTACAGACGTCTTTCGCGTTTGGCATGAAATTATTTTGACATAATTAATCTGACGTTTCTAACGACGTTCCAATTTTCTCCCGGTGGGCGTGTCTTAAAGCTTCAATCTTTACGGCTTGTGAAATGGTCGTCTGTCGTCGAGAAGACCCCAAAAAAAAGGCAAAATTAAATATGAAAACGCGAAAAAAAACGTTACAAAAATGCCCCTGATCGACGAAAGATGATCGAATCAACACCTCATGCCAATCCCACGTCACCCCGCGGTTTGCGGGAAAAGAATTTCGTGGGGCAAAATAGACGTTTTCCGGCCTCGCTAGAGAGTGCATTTTAACGTATTTACGGCCACATTTCAAATCCCGCATTTGATTTCGCGGAAAGTTCTACAGCAAAAGCGCGAAATAGGCACCCGGTCGATTAATATGATTATTTTGGGCACAGTTTTAAATAAAATATCATAGAAAATAGGGGAAATAAAAAATAAAAAAGTCGTACCCGCGCGCAATTCGAGGCGATCGGCGACCGTCAGATTTCAGCGGGAGGGCGTGTTGGACTTGTGCGTTTCACACAAAAATTGGGCCGCGCCCCTGGCAGAGCCTGAGGAAATCGCTGCGCGGTCCGGGGGCGAAGCCTTTGCTAACACAAATCGGAACTTTTTCGGAGCGATTGTGCGACGCAGACGGAGCTATCAGATTTTAATATATATATAGATTTTATGCAAAACATTACGACGATAACAAGTTCAGCGCAAGCAGAGGTTGGGTAAATAAATTTAAGAAGAAACATGGTATTCGTCTTCAAGTTTGTGGGGAGAAATTATCTAGCAATCCAAATGTTGTCGAGCCGTTTCTACAAAAAAATTATTGCCAGATCGTACTTTGGTACATGCCAGAGAAAAAGTGGCAAACAGCCCTAAGAACTATTGAAAACTGGTGTGAGGACCATGCTTTGTCAGTCAACCCCAGGAAGACAGAAATGAGGAAGAGAAAACTGGGGCAAATAAAAGCACCAACTCTCCTAGACACTATGCTAAGCTTTGCATCTGATGTGAAATACCTAGGGGTAACACTTGATGCAAAACTAACATGGAATCTTCATTTTGAAAGGCGTATATATCCTATTAGCAGTGCCGCAGAACCGTTGGTAGAACCTAGGGAATGAAACCAAAAGTGGCATGTAGATATACACTGCCATTGTAAAACTAATGTTAGCCTACAAGGCTGTTGTTTGGAGGCCGAAAGTACAGCAGACGACCGCTAAACAGAAGCTCAGCCGGGTACAAAGAATTGCCTGTCTGACCATAACTAGAGCTATGCAAACAATACCCACCATAGCAATGAAGGTAATGCTGTCCTCTGGATATCTAAGAGAAGTGGCCTTGACAACCATGTTTCACCTTAAACACTGCAAGTAAAACCATCAGAATCTACACAGATAGTAGACAAGCATTACTGATCTTATGTAATCATAAGATAATGAGTAGGTCAGTATGGGAATGCCACCAGGCACTGGTCGTGGCCTCATTTTCCAACAGCATATCTGCATGCTGGGGTGCTGGGACATGAGCGGTGCAATGGCAATAAAGAAGCTGACAAGTTAGCCAAGAGTGCATCCGGTCTCAATATTTTTGGACACGGTCCCTCTAGTGTGCTTCCGCTGTCAGCACTTATTAGAATTATTAAAGAAAATAACCAAAAACAGTTTATGAAATGATGGAATGATATAAATAGCTGTCAATGTGCTAAGGAGTTCTTAGAATACCCCAGCTAAGAAATACCTGGCCATGTCTAGGTCAAATTTTTGCCTAGTGATAGGTATTCAAACTGGACACTGCTGGCTAAGGAAGCACCTTCCCAACATGAGGAAGTGTGAAACACCTCTTTGTGGGGAGTTGTGAACAGGAAGACGAGACAGTACTACATGTGCTATGCGAATGCACTGCCGTTTCCTTAATAAGATAATCCGTGTTGAGAGAACGTTAGCCTTCTATGCCCTATATTAAAGAGCAACGTCATCACCTTTTTCTCTGTAATAGGTTGGTTAGTGGCTCAGGTGGATAGATTTCCTAACGGGAGGAGGTACAAGAGGGATTGCGATTTTGAAGATTTAGTCCCATTGTCTTGACTTAAAGACGTGAATCTGCCAGTGAGAACGAAAGGGAACTTGCCGAAATTAATAATATGCTTCAGAAAGTTAGTGCTAAGGACAGCCAATTGATAGTACCAGAATTCTGTGAATGGATACTTGGTGATGAAGAACATTCATTGTTGCATAGTGACGAGAGCAACTCGGAAGAAGTTACTAGGGTTGAGCCAAATGATATATGATGAGGCAATTCGTTGTTTCAGTATATACATACAGTGGACTGAGGACAATAGCGCTGAATTAAATGCTTTGTCTATACTACGAATGCTGCGACAACGCGCAATGGAAGCCAAGCAGGAAAATATTAAACAAACTAAACTTACGGACTTTTTTAAATAATAGAGTGAATTTTCATTTTTCCTTCTTATAACATATTATGAAAATATAAATTTTCGTTTGTATTCAGTATTGTAAATAACTATGAATTTTATTTTTCCTTTACACTTTTTTATGTTTCTATAATTTGTATGTGTGTATCTATATATTTTAGAGAATAAATTCCTACAATACTTAATTTGCATCTGTATTATCTGGAAATTTTAAGGACGTTCCAATAATCGCGATTTTTCACTAATCCGAATCGGCCTGGTTTTAATTGGATAAGCGATGTTTCACTGTACATATCAAAAATGTTTAAATAATCCTATTTTCTTAAAATAAGAAATAACGAAATTCTGATGTGTAAAAAGCTAAGGCTTGTATGTGTACTTATCAACATTAAAAGGAATACCTTTCCATCGTCACTCTTGATTTCTTCGATGTAGTCTTGACCAACAGGTTGAATGTCTGGCTCTGGAGTTTCCTCCTCTTCCTCCTTGGCTGTATCTCCATTACCTGCGGGAATGCCCAGACCTCCTGATTGGACAAAGTTAATTTTTGGAGTGGAGGAAACGGACTTACGGGCTCCACCAATAACCTCGGGTTCCTGGGGAGGGATGGGTTTGCCTAGTTTGGTATGGAGAAGTACCACCTTCTGATGCTTAGCCCCTCGAATATGAGCAGCGTATGCATCATTTCCTAAAAAAAAAAACCAAAAAAAAAAATGACATTTCAAAATTTTTGCATATTTATACGGATTGGGTATTATGGAAAATATCAATTGGGTACAAATATATGTAAATATAGGATGTTTTTTATTTTGCTGTTCCTTAACAGGACAGAATAGAACTCAATATTTTTCAAAAAACTATTAAAATAAGTCACGATACATTCCTGTGAAATATCACAATATACAATATATAATTCAACCACGACATGATACCCCAAAAAAATAGCAGAGATCTTAGTTTTATATTATACACTGAGCTCGTAAAGTTTGGAATAAATTCGATAAATCGTTATTGAAGGGTTTTGACAGGAAATCCTCGGACACGTCAACTTTAGTTTGTAAAATGTCACTTTTTTCAGCCATCGACTTTTTTTTTGTTTTGTTTGTTTTTGAGCTATGACGTCATCGGCAATTTTTTTAAATGGCAACCCATATTTTTTTCCACGGATTTCGATAGAGCACATTTTTCTGAGTATGAATATGTCAAAAACGTATGACCTTCAAGATGGAAGTTTTCGAGATAATAGACAGTTTAAGTTGATTGTAGATGATCATGATATTAATTTGAGCATGCGCAACGGTCAAATTCTACGTATACGTTATGTCCGATACATAACTTAAACTGTCTATTAGGTTCCAAAGTTTCAAGGATGTACCATATACAAGGTATCGAGTGGGTCAAGTTTTTTAATAGCTTATCGAACATTTTGAGAGATTTTAGGAGCAATTTGTTTAATTTTTTAAGTAATAATCAACAACAATTTTAACAAATAAAAAAAGGTTTCTGTGCAAATGATAAATAATTAAAGTAAACAAGAAAATCAGAGGAAATTTTCAAAGTGACCTCCATTCACTTCTTGGCAATATCCCATTCGCCACTGAAACTCCTGCAGAACCTTATGAAGAATATCTGGTTGAATGGCTCGAATTTCATTGCGAATTCTGTCCTTTAATTCTTCAATGGTATTTGGTCTATTGAAGTAGACTTTGCTCTTTAAATAGCCCCATAAAAAGTAGTCTAGGGGAGTGAGATCCGGAGATCTAGGGGGCCATTCGATAGTTCCTCTTCGACCAATCCAACGGTTAGCAAATATTTGGTTTAAATAGTTGCGAACGATCACTGCAAAATGAGGAGGTGCACCGTCTTGTTGGTACCATATCGTGTTATTGGGCAGATCGGGATCTACGTCATTTGGGTAAAGCACCGCAAGTGCAGGGACTAAAACGTCTCTTAAAAATTCAAAATATTTTTCACCTGTTAATGCGCCTTCAATGAAAAATGGACCCAAAATGCGGTTAGCAACAAGGCCAGCCCAAACGTTAACTTTTTGTGGAAACTGACTACGAGTTTCCATTTTCCAGTGTGGATTTTCAGGAGACCAATATCTACAGTTTTGCCGGTTTACTGTGCCGTCGAGATAAAAGGTAGCCTCATCAGAAAAAATAATATTGCGTAAGAATCCGTCGTCATCAATCAGGCGTTGCAACATGGTTTCACAAAACTGTAACCTACGGTCAGGATCATCTTCGTTTAATTGTTGGACCAAAACCACTTTATACGGATGCCATTTGTACAATTTCAAATATTTTAAGACGGAGCTTTGAACTATTCCGTTGTTTGCCGCCACTTGGCGGGTGGGTAAATGGGGATTTTCTTGAAGCTCTAGTAGAACATTCAATTTAACATCTTCTTGTACTGGTGGACGACCCGTTCTAGGGCGATCTCTCGCATGACCCATTTCTAAAAACTTTTGCTCTATTTTACTAACCGTGGACTGTGTAATTGGTTCTCTGTTTGGATATTTGTTATTAAATAAACGGCAAACTTCTACTTGTGTGCGAGCTCTGTCCCCGTAACCGATCATCATCAAAATTTCGATTCTTTCCCTTTCACTCAAACGACGAACCATTTTCAAATAAAATGAATTCTGATAGAATAATGATTAATTAACTTAAAATAAAACACAAACTTGCGAGGACAAACTTCAAAATTCTGACAACTATCAAAACTGTAATTTTTTCAGAGCTTCCTTGATAAATGATTAGTACTTTGTCATCGCTTGTATAATGAATTCTTGAAACTTTGGAACCGAATATCTCGAAAACTTCCATTTTGAAGGTCATACGTTTTTGACATATTCGTACTCAGAAAAATGTGCTCTATCAAAATCCGTGGAAAAAAATATGGGTTGCCATTTAAAAAAATTGCCGATGACGTCATAGCTCAAAAACAAACAAAACAAAAAAAAAGTCGATGGCTGAAAAAAGTCACATTTTACAAACTAAAGTTGACGTGTCCGAGGATTTCCTGTCAAAACCCTTCAATAACGATTTATCGAATTTATTCCAAACTTTACGAGCTCAGTGTATAATTTCATTGTTTAAAATGGCCTACATTGAATAGTAATCAACTGATATTAATATACAAAGAATTTCATCAAAATGCTGCCATAGTATTGCAATTGTATACCAAGAGTTTTCCTTTGTGATTTTCTCCTACAGCTCACAGGTTTGTTTATGTTGTTTTAAGTATACTTAACAGTACTAATTTTAAGTGTACTTAACATTATTAACAATCCAATGAAAATTATTTTTCGTAACTACAGATGTTCAAAAATAGTAATTTTATAAAAATCCGTCCATTCACATGTTAATTTTGTGAACCACTGTCCATGTGAAAGGTAACCAATACCCTGTGCACTGTTGGTTACCATATTTATCTAACAATAAGAGAGGCACGGTACTTAACAGAATCGTACTCAACTCATAACTAATTATTTCAATTTTTGATTCTTGCTGTTCCATGCTATTATTTTATAGGTCTGCCTGCCCTGTAAGTTGTAGTCAACATGTATATTTAAATATTTATATGAGTATTCTAATTTATAGATATACAAGCATTAAGTGTTTGAATTAAACAAAAGAAATAATAATTTTGAAATAAAAAGATCATTTTCTAAACAGAATATTCAGTGCTTTGTCTATATCTTAGAGACAACAGATTGGTCACCTGTGTATGATGTGTCACCAAATAATGTAAATGAGCAATGGTATATTTTCTCAAATATATTTATGTATTATTTCAATGAAAGCTTTCCAGTTAAAAAAATACATAAGACATTAAAAAATAATAATAAGAATGTATACATGAAGGATGAGGAGCTTATTTTGTGTAAAAATCAATTACATTTTGCATATATGTAGCACGGTCGATATAAGATATGAAGATACATACTTACAAGATGGTGAAAAAAGAATAATAAACTTTTAGAGAAAAAAGCAAGTAGCTATCAAAGCAGAATACTCAAGTCTGATAACAAATCAAAAACAGTTTGGGAGGTACTCAAAAAATATTAAAGGAAATGTTATTCAAACATACCAACCCATTGAAATTGACGGTAGTGCAAAGGAAGTAGCAGATAAATATAATAGGTTTCTAGTAAATTATGTGAATGAAATGATTCAAAACCAATGTCATATTCCTTTTACTTATAAAATTAAATATAACAAAAGTGTCATACATTTAGAACAAGTAACAGTTAAACAACTATTAGAAATATCAAAAAAATTGAAAAATAAAATGTCCAGAGTAGATGAAATACCTAAAAAAATTGTTAAATCATGTACGAGTCAAATAGCATCAATTATGGTTTATATCATTAATAATTCTTTAAAATTCAGTATCTTTCCTAATGAATCGAAAATTGCTCTTATTAGACCATTACACAAAAAAGGTGATCACACAAAATTTGAAAATTTTCGATCAATTAGTTTATTACCGTTTTTCAAAACTTTTTGAATTAGTTATGAATGACAGAATTGTTAAATAACGAGCGTTCAAATAAAAACGTGGTTGAAGTTGGCTCTGACACATTGGACGTAGGGAGTAGCTTATAGCGACCAACTTAACCTCATTTCTCAACGAGCTGTATAGCAGCTGTCAGTTTCAATAACGTTAATGACTTTATTTTAAAGAATAATCGTGATAACAATAACAAACAATTAAAGGAGCTTTTTTTAACACTGTGTGGCAGGTACCGACTGATACTCCCACCGTTTGTGATAAAACACGTACAGAAGTTCTTGGCGCATTTTCCATTATTTGTTGGACATTTTCTTTTAATTCTTCAGTCCGCTTTTTAGGTCGGCCGCTTCCTTCTTTTCTTATTACACTGCCCGTTTCACGAAAAACATTAACACAACGCTGAACTGCACTTTGAAAAATTTTGTACTCAACAACGCCGGGAAATTGATTTTGAAATTCTACGAAACATTCCCCAATAGAATACTTCCATATTCCATCAATCTTGTGTCCATTTCTAAAGTAGGACTCTATGATAAACACTTTTTGTTCTTGAGAAAACACCATTTTAAACGCTTTTTAAAACGAAAATATTCAAATTGATAGCGGCGATATAGCGCTTTGACAGATGACGTTTAAGTTCATTTGCTATACGCTACGCCCTACGTCCAAATTTTCAGAACCAACTTGACCACGTTTTTATTTGAACGCTCATTATATAACTGCAGAAAATTTTTCATTAAAAATCAACATGGATAGCAAAAAGGCAAATCTACTCAAATAGCGGTATTTCAATTAATTAACATAATACTAGATTCACTAGAAAAAGGAGATTCCTATGGGCACTTTTATTGACTTATCAAAAGCGTACGACTGTAAACCAGCGGTCGGCAACTGGCGGATCATGGTCCAGATCCGGACCGCGAAAGGTTAGAAACTGGACCGCCAAAAATTTTTTGAAAGTATAATTACTCAAATTATTTAAAAACATATTTTTCTATAGATAAAAATACGTTTGACTGCAACCCTGATCATTTTTTAATGGTTAGTAGGTTAGTAAAAAAAACTGACTCAAGACCGAAAATGTAATTTCTCCCATTGATTTTTTAATACAAATATGCCTATCGCATTTCATATTATTTTGAGTGCAAATTAAAACAAAAAATTAATAAGGAATATGAATTTTTTTCTGGACCTCGTTAAAAATTTTCAAAAGTATCCGGACTCCGCCTAAAATTAATTGCCGACCCCTGGTCTAGACCATAATATATGAAAAACTGGATATATGGCATTCGTGATTCCGCTCTAAATTCAATAAAATAAGTTCTATTTAATGCAAAAAAAGCGAATATTTGTAAACTGATATTTTCACGTTCGACCTTTGTTTTACATTCAACAAATTAGTGAAAAATGACTAGGTACCTTAAATTGTAGAAAAAAACATAAATTTGCTACTTATTTGCAATTCGTCAATTTAGCTTCACTTCTTTCGAGTTACTTCTTTGATATTATCTTTCTACATGCCCCCATCATAAAGCTCAATAAAAGGTCTAATTTTTTTAAATTTTCAGGTTTTATTATCTAATTCGACAGGAGTATAAGAAGAGGATAATAGTATGTGAATCACCTTGCACATAGACACAGTTTATTGGTGAAGATGGCAAAATCAAGAATTATAAATATATATTTTTTAAATATTTCAAAATTTCATATAAAAAGTACATATTAAGAGTTCTATAAGCAACATAAATGGGTCAGATTTTTTTAAAAAGTTAATATTCTCGAAAAACTATAAAAAAGAAACCATTTTTTTATGTTATTTACAAACACGTGCTAAATATAAATGTAACAAAACTTTCTGCTCTGTATCTCGAAACAGTGGTGGTGTTCAAGCTGTGCAATTTTAAGTGACATCAATGATAATTATTTAAAAAGTAATATGAAAATTAAAGTAAAAACTACATAATACACAGGTTGATTAGAAAATTTAAAATACACTTTTCGATATTCAAACAACCTTTTCTCATACATCAGAAGATATAATTTATAAAAATAAAAATAACTAGATACTATTTTTAACTTACCAGTGCACGTTACATCACATAACTGACACCTAAGTGAATTTCCTGCTCTATTTTGACTTGTAACTGCAACCGATGCGGCCATTTTAGTAGCAGCTTCGCGCTTTTTGTGTTTTTGACCTTCTAAATGTTCACGATAAGTTTGAGGACCAGCACAGCTAAAATCAAATATATATAATTTAATTAGTATTAACACATATACCAACATATTAAGTATGTCCCCTTAATACATATAAATATTACTAGTTTCCTTACCTAATTTTGCAGACATCACAATAATGCAATTGTTGTGGCTTAGGGGGTGCCTTAGCTCTCATGTTTTTAGCACCAAGACCTCCTTTTTTATATCCTTGCCATCCTCCAGTTTTTTGTTGCGCGGCACCACCAGATTGCTGGGCGACATACATGGTTGCAGCAGAATAGAGGGCAGCGTCGTATCCTGAATATGTTGTTGTTGAATTAGCTTCTAGAGACAAACAACAATTGTGAGGAATGGAAATGAAGATTAGTTTGACGACCAGGTATATTAATAGGTACAACTGCAGTGATGCGGACAATCAGATATGATTTCTATTTCATTAGTAGTTTTAAAAATAAACTGTCTCCATCTCTAATCTAGGTTTTGCCTTTTTTTTTAATATTTACAAAAAACAACATAACATTTTTAAAAAATAAATTATTAGACGTTAGGAATAGTTTGAACACAAAATCACTGAATTTGATATACAGGATGAGTTTTTAAGCCTTTCATGCTTGGTGTCCACATATGAGGACACAAGTTTAAAAAATAATAAAAAATATAATAACAGTATTATTGGTATATTTACGACATAAGGCTTTTTTTCGGGACTGAATATTGGTGAAAATCGGACTTGTAGTTGCTATTTTTATCTCTTTTGATTTTAGTTATCATAATATGGTAGTTTAAATCTCCTCATTCACTCATACTACACATGACAACATACGACTTCACTTGCGAAAAAAGCCTATAATGTTCGCATTTGTGTTCTATATTATTATATTTCAACACTAGCAGCAACATCTGCACGATCTCTATTGATGCATATTCCCAACTCTTCTCAGTACTCTAACATATACGGTTCTTTGGGCAGCCACATAGGTCTAGTGTATTGAACCCTTTATTTTATGTGTTTTTGGCGAAATTTGGTACAAAATAAAGAAAACATTTTACCAAAAAATTCTTCAGATAATAATGTTCAGTAAATACCAAGTACTAAGGGCAGGAAAGAAGAAAACAAATCTAAAAATTTCCGTTGTTTCTTGGGCCACTAACAGACAAGGAACTGGAAGAATTGGCAAACATATTTGAAGATGGCTTTGGACTCTCAAATGAAAATTTAAATGAAGAATTAGATTCTGAATATAATCCGGAAAAGGATAGTAATAGTGAAAGCGACGATAGCAGAAGTCAATATACTGAATACAATGTTCCAGAAATTGGACAAAGCACTGAATTGGAGATGCTTGAAGGACAGGAAGTAGTCAGTTCAGAACAGTTGGAAGAAATAGTAGAAGAGCCGAAAATTATGGAAAACACATATTATTAAAATACAAAAAAGGGGGAAAAGCTAAGAAAGTTTCTTTCCATATAACACATCAAACAAAACCAAAAAAGGAAAAGGTTGTTCCGAATCGGAACTAGATTCTAGGAAAAGAAAATCCTCTGGCGGTAAATATTCCAGAGTGTTGAAAACCACATAAAATTGTTAGCGATGGACCCAACAAACCCTATATGGCTATCCTCTACAGGGAACGTGCTATCCAAATATGTAAAAATATACAGGGTGTTCCATTTAACTTACAAAGTTAACATCTGCGGCCGTTTTGTTTGAACTTCATTTGTTTTTCTAATATAATTTTCAAAAAATTCATAAAAAATCGTGCAACTTTTATATTTAACATTTTTTTTTATAACTCTTAAAACAAAAAAAGTTAAAGGGGGGTCAAAATATAGTGAATCACCCTATACAGGCCTGAGGTGAACATATGTATCTGATGATGTTCTTTGCAATGGACTCATTAAAAATGAACCAAGTTGTTTGTTAATTTTCTGCTACTCTACTAGAATACAGAAATATAGCAAAGCAATTCTATTTAAAAACAAACACTTTTATTCTGTAATGGTCGCCTATCACAATACATTAATTAAAACGAAAAAAGGAAAATAAAACAACAATGCAAAATGCCATTATTGAGGTACTGAGAAATGCTCATTGTATTCATAAAGTTATGTAAGCAATGTGATGATATGATTAATGTATAATAAATAAAAACCACAATGTACTTACGTTTAGCTTGTGTTGTAGGTTGAGCAGCTATAGTTGTCTGAACAGCTGGTTGGGCATATGTTGCTTGATATCCAGTTGCGTTAGCTTGGTATGTTCCAGTGTACTGAGCTGGTTTTGCCGCTGCAGTCTAAAATAAGATATTAAAATTATGATTTGTAAATTTACTATGATCATACGTCGACTAGATAATAAATTTTATGAACAGTAGAACCTTGTTTAATAGTTCTTGACGTGACCACCCGGTTGTTGGATAACGATAAGATATCTGTAGGGTGTCCCAACTAAGAGATGTCACGTTATTAATGATTTTTTTAAATGGCAAAAGCAAAAGCACACAGATATACTCGACGACCAGAAGTTTGTAGGAGAATTAACCGTTTTCAGATGAGTTTCGGGAAATAGCCGCTCAAGTTTTTTACAGTTTATAGCTGCCCCTTTGTCCACAGCGACATTCATTTGTCAAACTACTCCGTCTGCAAAGGATACAATAGGAAGGGTTATTTACCATTTTCCTCAAAACTACATTTCTGAAATTGGTATACACGATTGCGCAAAAACTATTTAACTGATTGAGTTCCCCCTTGGTAGAAATTTTGATAACTTTATTACCTTCTATATGACGGAAATTGATTTTGCAAAATTTAAAAAAAAACTATTTTTTAAAAACAATTTCTGCAGAAATTTCACATGAAAATTTGATTTTTGTCTTTAAATACGTGCCGCTTTTTCAAATTAGCATTATTTCCATTTTTCTCAACGTCACATAGTCACATAGAAACTACACGTTTTAAATAAGAAAATTTTTGTATTTTGATGCAGATCAAATTTCATGGGGAGCTACACCATATTGGAAGTCTCGTCACAATCTTGCTGTAACTCTCTACTACTGCTCCACCATTTTGACAATGAATTCAAAATATATATTTTTTAATACTTAAATATTGATTCATTTTCCTCCATCTAATTATATGTCCCCTTAAAAGAATGTGTTAATAGATCAATTTGGTTTAAAAACTGTAGTTTTAGTCTTGTAACATTTGTTTACTGCAATTTTTTTTATTTTTTCAAAATATTAATTTGAAACCAAATTAACAAAATAACACATTTTTGAAAATTACAAGAATGGTATAAGAATAATCCTCAACTTGCTGTATCTTGGGAATGACTAAAAATAAATATTTGAAATTTGTTGAAAAATAGTGAAAAAAAAACTAGGATCGACATTTACAAAAAAAAAAAATCATCGATCTCATCATATCTCCCAATTGGGGCACCCTGTAGGTATACATTGTTTTTATAAAAAGTGCCCAACTTATAATCATAAAATTATAGACCCTCAATCTGAAATAACCCGATTTTATTTATACCATGTCAATAGGTTTCTGGCATAATTATGAGGATTAATTTTTATTGTAAAATACATTTACTACCTTTGTGGAATATTACCGACACATTTTGATAAAAATTGTTTTTTTTTTTGGTCCTGCAGATAGACATAGAAACAAAACATATAAAAAGTATGTATGCACAACTTCTAGGTTACTATATCTTTAATTTGTTGTGCCTGAACATCAGCACCCACATCAATTTTGAAATTAAAAATTAAAGTACAGGATGTCTGGTAAGTATACGACATACTCTTTCGAGTGTATAGGGGAGGTCAAAATAACTAGGTTGTTACTAAAAAAAACCTAGTGTCCCTTAACCCCAGCGGGGTACCCAAAGGGATACCCAGCGCTTTACCTTGCTCTAACTTTTGAACCGACGTTATGTAGTCCATAGAGGCTCATAAAACCATACTACTGTAAATGTTTGTCAGGGAAGTCAGGAACAGACTTGCTACCACAATCGTTGAGCCAAAATTGACAAGTGTCATTTTATAGAGCTGAAAACTGAATTTTAAAATACTTTGGATATTCCTCTTTAAAAAAGGTACTCAAAATTTGTTTCAATAAAATTAGTAGTTTTCGAAAAAATTAAGTTTTTGTATACTTAATACGTTTAAACACCGACCTTCAAAATTTATTTATCCAACACTTGTATATAATGATACTTTAATTTCTTTAGTTTTAAAGGAATAATATGGCTATAACTCACTAGTGAGTTATGAAACCCTTGGTTACAGACACAATTTAGGTTGACACTCGCATCCTTTGTAATATTTAAAAATACATTAGTTTCCTTAAATTACTTTTTCTGACATTGACAACTTGAAATTTTAAGTTACTTTTATTAACACACTAGTACTATAAATTACTATTAATTATCAAGTTTATTAACAAACTATTTAAACACAATAACTAATATCATTGGCGGCGTGTTAACATTGATTGAATGTGTTCTGCTAGGGTTGTTACATTTGTTGAATTGAATTCCGGAATATTAAGTGCCCGGAATCTGTAAATGGCGCCGAAAAATTTTTAAAATTTTCAAGGTCATGCATTTTCCTGACACTTCTCAATTTCAAGGAACAATCCATTTAAGTATACAAAAATACAGATTTTCACAAGAACGATTTGTGAAATTGATACCTTTTTGAAACATCTATTCACGAATTACCACCTACTGACGTATAAATAAATTGGAATAAACTAAATATATTTTATTAAATTATTGAATATTGTTTATAAACAAAAAAATCGTTTGTGAAGTTTACTAATGATTTTTTCTTTATCTTTTTTTTTATATATATGGTACATATATTATATTCCGAGAATTATACGCGCAAATCCGAGACCATACAGCTAATTTCCAGTACAATCACAGAAAATCCAGGTCATACTTATATTTTTTTTACTTTTATTATACTTCTTCACAAAAATATGGACGACGAACAAGAAAATGTATCAAAAGACAATCCGACAAAGAAAAGAATAATTTCATTCGATAAATAATTTTATATATATAGGATAGGTACTTGTTAGTTTTCATTGTAATAATTTTATAGATATTTTATACATGTATAACTATTAAAAAAAATTAAATTCTTTAAACTTATTTTGCACCAAAATTAATTAATTATTGAAATGATGAAGTAATTAATTAATTTATTAAATTAAATAAAAACTAAACATTTACGGGACTATTTTGCTTCTAAGGCGAAAATGACTATAATATTCGTGTTTAGCCACCCCAGATTAAGCACAAAAGAATTTTTGTACGTGGTCCAGAAGCCGAGATATCAAAGATTTTGCAAGCACGAGCCATTTAGACTTCACGTCATCAGTTTGTATATGAAGTTGCATATATTAAGGAGCGTAGCTCGCGTCGTAATAAATAATAATTATAAGCTCCTAGATTTATTTTAGCGCGAGTACATTTGGATTCTTTAACTATTTTGTTGATATTTAATATGATTAAATACATAAAATTGTATGTGTTCTACAGCTCCGCAGCTCTTATGGTAAAACCGCCACTGAATAACATCATAACTAATAATTGGTATTAAAATAATAAATTTTGTCATTATTACATCTCATTAATGCTGACATGCATCTAACTTATGAACAAGCACTCGGCAATTGTGTGGAGGCAAGAAGAATATATTCTGATACATATCCAAATCACGCAAGGACATTAACAATTAAATGCTTTTTTTTCTTGTCTACTTGAGCAGATTTTCGAAATAGGCGCAATGTACCTCTATACATTTCCTTATCCGATGGATGTTTTCTCGTTGTACTTGTACCTGAAACAAACACTCCAGAACTGTCTCTAATTTTGTGACAATGGTACTTTATTCTTCCTATCAAGTCCTCCCTGGTGAGAGCTGGCGTCGAATACACAAGCCTCTTTACAAAAATGTTTCTAAATTTAATGGCTTTCTAGCGGACTAATAATTTTTAAGAAATTTAAATATGCGACCAAATTTTCTTGTCTCCAAAGACAAGGGTGCCCATGAAAAATTGTCTTAAGGGGGTTCCCTGTCAAAAAGCGTAACACCATCAGATTCCACGTCAGAAAACCCCTTTGTACCAAATTTAGTGATTCTCATACAAGGTTCTGAGATATAAAAAAAGATTCTTTTTAGGGGCAGATTTCAGGGGGGACGATTCAATTTCGAGCAGGCCGAAGCGGCCGCGCTCTCTGCTTCCCCCACCACCACCCGTACGATTTTATTGAATTTCTCGCTTGCATAAATAACTTTAAACATGTTTTAAAGTATGTTGCCAATGAAGAAAAGTATTGTAATCTTAGACCTGGTAAGTACTCGGAATACCAAAGGTATTTTTCGAAAAATTAGCCCGGATGTCCCAGTACATTTAGTGTAAATGACGTCTATAACTACGTAACTAATTGATCAATTGATCTGTTTTTTTTTAAAGAAGCGTCTTTCCAAGAACTTTTAAAACCTGCTTTAAAAAATTTGTTTGATTAAATATTCACAAAGTTCTAATTGTTTATAAGTACAAAAATTCGACCAATGTTTAAACAAGTGCCAGAGCTCTCCTAATTGGCGGATTCGAATTTTTCAAAAAAAGTTTGAAAGCCTGAGAGCCCTTCTATATGTGATTAAATTTTCAAGTATCTAAAGGCCTTGGTTTTTGCTGTGTAAAATTTTGAAAATTTGCATTTTTTTTTTAAATCTGGATTGCAAAATTATTATGCAAAATCTATCGAACCTATTTTGATGAAATTTGGTGTGATGATTCTACATAACATGAAGTTTTCTTGAGCCAAGTATAAAGGTCCTATACCCAATTTAAATACCCAAAAAAATTCCCTAAAAAGTATTGTTTTTTAACCCCATTTTTGTGATTTTTTCGATTTTTACCATAATAATCATGATTCATTCGATTTGTAACCAGTCATGTATTGTAAAAAATTTAATTACAAACATTTTTTTCCTCTTCCATTTTTGCCTAAAATCAACTTTTAAAAAGATACATAATTAAATAGGAAGAAAAATATGACATTTTTCCAATTTTTTTAACATATTGTGCCGCCAAAAGTTAAGCCCACGTTTTTTTTATGCACATAGAAAAATTTTCATTTCTAGTGATATTTGAAAGCCAAAAAGCCAAAAATCTCCGTGGATATACGATTCACACAAGCCAAAACAGATACCGCCTGGTCTATTAATTCCAACGACAAAATTTTAACGTTTTTTTGTTTAAAAATTGTTGC